ATTGAATAAATAGACCTGCTGGCAGTAAATTCTTAAGTAAGTCCATAAAACATATGTTTTTTGAAGAGGTTTAAATAAAATTTGTATTTGTCATGTTTGGTAAAAAATATATTTAAAAAATTTTTTTCATTCATTTCGTGAGTTTCTCTATTGACACAGAAAATGTATGTAAGTTTTAAATCAAAATTTTTTTATTTAGTATCAGCTTTTTAGAAGGAAGCTTGATTGTCATTCGATAACTCAGATTAGAAGTCTGAAAATTTGTATCATTAAAATTACATCAGACAATAACCTAAGGAGTACTTAAACTGACAATTTATAAATATGGATGGCGAAAATTCTTTTGTCATTCAAAGTAATTTAAAAATCAAACAAACACAAAATTGATACTGATATTGTTATCTATATTATATAAGGATTTTATTTTCACACAAATTATGATGTAAGCCATTTTCGTGTTCTAAAAATAATTTCATTTGTCAGCCTTGTTGAAAAGCTAAGGAAATGATGCATGCAAAAAGTCTGATATCGATTGATTGAAATGTTATCAGGCCAATAAGTTTCACATATAATTTAAATATGATTCACTATAGCTATAAAGAGTGCACATTAGACCTGGCGACAAGAAAGCGAGTCAGTGGAGGGGTGATAAGAACTATTGATTTCTTTGCGGTCGATAAGCCAATTTCGTCAAAAGGATCCTGAACTCCCGCTCCGTCAACCCCTTCATGCGGAAACGCGATACGAGCGATCTAATAAAATATAATTTGCAAAATTAACAAATAAGTTGAAGGCTTGTGATTAGAGTTTATTAAATTCACCTGATTTCGTTTATTGCGCTCTCCACTTCAGCTCACTTCACTCCTCACTTGAGTTCAATTCGGTGCGGTAAGTGCCACAATTCTTGGAACTCGTAATTCTTTCGCCGGGGGTAAACAATAGAATCTCGAAATATGGGCTGATGTTTTGTCCGAACAAAGTTCATTGGGGGCTCGTTTGGTTCAACACTTTTCCCATTTCGCAATCTTTAAAATCGGTTCGCACCGGTTTTCGATTTTTCCTTTCGTCGTTTTGGGTTAAGTAAGGTCCGGTGCGATAGCACTTGCGTCAAGTGCCAATTGGCTTTAAGGGTGAACGAATTCATTGGGGATCTGAGATATATGCCTGGTATTTGCTATATAGGTTATATTTTTAGTTTAAAAGGATTAAGTATAATTTATTCAATAAAATATATATGTTTTGTTCATTTAAATATATTTATATTTACTTATACTTGTATTTAATGTCTAAATCAAATATTTAAGCTTACAATAAATGTAGTTCTTTAGTTAAGATGATCAGCAGGAACATCTTTAAAACAAATTATTTCTTGATAGTTAAAAGAGCTAACTAATGTCTCAAAATAGATTGAATATACTCTATATCTGCAGTGCATTCTTATCTCTAGACAATATAAGCCAAATATCGCAATTCGAAGAACTATTCCCCGTTTTATGGATCTTGAAAAGTCCAAACTTTGTGCTTCCCCTTATTGACCTTTTCCACTTCCTCTTCAGATTTTAAGTGCCACCTGTAAAATCGATCAGTTAGTACCACGTGATTGCTGTTAGATGGCAGTCTGTTCTTGAGAACCCGCCTGCCAATAAACGAAACCAATAACGATCGAACATGACACAAGAACAAAACCGAAGTAATAATAAATAAAATTTTTCACAAGTTAAAAAAAAGCAGGAACAATGAATGGCATTCATTAGTCAATTACAGTAAGACCTGGCTAGCTAGCAAACACAGACGGTTATCAAGATAGGACCGGTTGATACCGCGAAATGGAAATGAGTCAAAGGCAAGTGCCAAATGGGGGAAGTGATGGTGTCTAGATAGAAGCACAAATAATTTGTTTAGAATTAGGAATTTTTGGGCTACGGCGACAAGGCAATCGGTAAAGTGTTCCTAATTAATATTGAGCTGCAACGGGGTTAATTTGTCTTAGTTGCTAAGTCACAAATTGTTTCATTTAGTATTCAACATTTTCGTTCTTCTTTTTTCTGGTTTGTATTTTTGTGGGGCAGAGTTAAGTAGACTTGAGCCGCAGGAAATCCACCTTTGGCACTTTACGAATGGCGCCCCATTATTCATAAGTTGAAAAAAACACAGACCCCCTTCGATTTTGGAAGGGTGACAGAAATCGATGGAAGACCTCTTTTATTTGGATATGCATTAAACGTAATTAATTTTGTAAATTCCGTTAATATTAATGGACTTGCTAGTAAACTTCTATTAGCATTTTAAGTCCGCGAGCTAAATTAATATTTCTATTAATTGTCAATTTTTTATACGAATTTATCTACGTATTCATGTTTTCCCTGGGCTTTTCGCTGAAATTGATTAGCTACGCGGGCGAAAATAAATATTCGCATGAATATTTCCAGAAGTGGGGGGCAGACCCACTCAAAATGAGTGGCAAGGCTTTGTCACACTTGGGTAAAGGTCACATCCACATGTAGGGGCAGACCTGCTCCATGCAGCTTATCAATATTTACATAGAACTATGGATCGTGTGTAACCAAAATATTTGCTTTGAATTCGCGATTCGAGACCTGCTTGGAAATTATTTAAGGCAATGACATGATTCAAATTAAAGTGAATTCTGACTAAGGAGCTTATGAAGAAACACATTAAGTAATAATATATAAATATAAAATAAAGTATAAATTTTTATACATGGCAATAATAATATAATTTTTAAAAGAATTAATCAAATCGGTGATGAATTAGGATTGTATTTAAAATTATGTCCTTGTGCTGAAATTCTTACCATTCTAAGTACTGTGAAAATAAATAGTCCCGGTTTACTATAGTTTCAAGTTCATATTATTATTACCAAAAGCAATCAAAAGTAATTGTATAATTATATTGATTAAGATTTAAGGATTGTCTCCTTCATATTACAGTTATTATTAAAATTATGAAGTATTATTGTAAGAATGACCATTTCCCAAGTATAAATAATTAGTATTACTGAACTAACGTGTGTACATGACATAGATATTTGTTCCCTGCTTAAACAGTAAACTGTCTGGGCGAACAGTTTGTTCCATTTAGCCCCAAAATAGGTTTCGTAATACGCTTATAGGGTTAAATGATCGTAAATATTTAACAATGGGAAGAAGAGAAATCGGCCGCGTCACTTTTCACATTTCCGCTGCACTCGGATCTAGATCGAAATGGGGAACTGAAAACTCTTTCTTCTTCAATAAAAGAACATGACTTGGGCTAAAAAAAGTATTCCCTTCTCTACGCACATTTAAATGGCATTAGCAATTATGCGTGTTTAGGCCCTGTACATAATGGAAATTTGTTTCTGTCGGTGTTTATTGTCTGATTATTGTTTTATTTTTATACGATTGCCCCTCCTCCCAACTCGGCTACTGTTTGGTCTATTCAACTCTGTCTGCTTCTGCGTTTGTGGCTTAAATGGTCAAAAACATCAGGTAGATGACTTGTAATTACGATGCCGAGATCGGAGTCTGTGCGAGTATCTATGCTGAAGTTGGGGAGTTTAATGCGCCGAAAGCACTGGAAAGCTTTGTAAATATCAAACTATGCACTGAGAATAATTGTACTTTCCTTAGTACTTATGTTTTGTACAAATGCATCTTCAACTACCATTAAAAAGCCCATGTTATATTCTTATCTCTTCTTATTTGTTATCTTGACCGAATTAAAGTAAAATTTTAAAACAAAGCCATTTATTTATTCACCTATTAAAAAATCTCTGTACTTGAGTGCCAGACATTTTATAATTGTGTATTAAAGATGTATAAGAATTATAAAGCCAATAAACAAATTTATAAAATAATATATATTCAAAAAATAATTTTAAATAACTTATACATATTAATTAGTAATTTTTTAGAGCAAAGAAATAACCAAATTCTTTTATACTATTAACAATAACATTATATTTGTTTTATTAGTTAAAATTGGTTAGATAATTTTTTCCTTGTCGAGTATCTCTCTATTTTCTTCGGTTGGCGATTATGAATATTCAGTTCAATTGCCTGCTGCCGCCAAGAGAATTTGTCAACTGTTTAGGCCACCTTCATCCCCCCATCTGCAGCTGGCTGATAAGCTAAACAAAAGTAAGAATGATTTGGCACTTTGGGATTTTAATTTTCGAGCGCGTCATGTTATTGCTCTTGTCGCCGCCGAGTGAAATTCGAAGGCAATGAGCAGATTTAACCAAAACAACCTGAACCGAAATTGAACTAATTAAAATGACAAAAAGAGCGGGAAACGGAGAGAAAAGAAGTGGCTTTCAACCGGCAGATAAACAGGTTCACATGTCCATCAAACTTTGCGTGCGGAGTGATGAGTTTGCATAAATGAATTTTCCCGCCTGCTCGTCTTCTAAGCTGAAAATGCGATTTGAGTTCTCTCTTTGAGCTTTGAATTTCTAATTGTTGCGGCTTTTGGCTTGCCCAGAATTTCCATCGGGCCGAAGACATATTTTTTTAATTTATTTATTACCATGACAATCGCCTTGGCATAATTTACGGCTCTCCCACACACCCTTTATGGCTAATTAATCTTCTTTGCCTAATTACAGGGCCGTCTTCGTCCACTTGACCAACTTGCGGCTATCGGGCTCTAATCGGGCTTCTCAAAAGTGTTTTGTCGAGAACTTCAGTTTCAACTGCTATCTGCGACCGGGAGTGATTACCTATGTGCTCTATGCTGTTGCTGCTATTGGCACAGTTAGCCGTAAACACTGATTATGCCATTGTTGCTAGCAAACTACTATCAGCAGCAGCAACTTCAGCAACTCAAGCAGCGCCAGCAGCAGCGTGTTGCTAGCAACAACGGAATGTTACTTGAATACAAGAGCCATTGCAATTCGAATCGGGCTAGCAACAATTGCAGCAGCAGCAGCAGCAGCAGAAGCGGCGGCAACAGCAACAACATCAGCAACTACAACAACAACAAGCGACAGCTGTTCGCAGCGGAAGCACTAACAATGTCAACGCCAACGACAACATCGAAGTATAAACTGAATGGCGAGGCCACCGAAAGCGTTGCAGCATCCACGTTGCTATATCATCATCCGCACCACAATCATCACCATCACCACCACCAGCAGACGCAGCAGCAGCAGCATCAGCAGCAGCTCCACCATCAGCAGCAGTTGCTGCTGCAACAGCAACTCCTGCAGCAACATGTGGCCAGCAGTTCGCCGCTGCAACATCTGAGCAATCTGTTTGGCCAGCATTTGCCTACGCACAGTCTGCAGCATTTGATTGCCGCCGAGTACTGGCAACAGCAACAGCAGCAACAACACCCAGCAGCAACAATTAAAAGCGAGCCAACAACTCAATCAGCGGCAGCAACGTCGGTCTTTAGCTTCACGCCGCAGCAACACGTTAATTTTGCCGCCTCATTAGTCGCATTACAGCAAAATGATGCCCTGCCCGAGGCAACAATGGCAACAGCAACACCAGCGACAACTGCAGCATCCGCAGCAACAGCAAAAGCAGCAACAACAAGCCCTTCGACAGCAACAACATCGGCAACTTCGCAGGCGCCAACAGCAACCCAAGCAGCAGCAACAATTGACGACATCGAAGATGATGATGACGACAGCAACATCGGCAACCACATGCAAAATGCAGGCGGTAAGTTTGATGTTTTATGATTATTTTGGCAGCTGCAGCAACAATCTGTTGCAACGAGGAGAGGTTGTGAAGTTAAGAGACCTTGTTTATTAGTTAGTTCTCGAGAAGGTAAATGATTTTCATCTGTCTTATGAAACTTCTTTATATGCTATAATTTGGAAAATGGTTAAAAATTGTAGCATAAGAATCAAAAATGTTTTTTTTTTGGTATACAAAATCTTTGACAAATGTAACACATTGCAAACCTTTCAGTTTTTAATTAATAGTAAACCTTTTAGTAAAATTATCTTATGACATTTTGCGCTAGTTGAAAGTATTCGATTGTCTCTACTCTGTCTCTTTAAAATTCTTATAGTTGTCTTCTGTTGTTGTCCCCAACTCCCGCTTCCTAATATCCATTTCCATCTAACTCTCAACCATTTCCGAGGCGAATCCTTTGAGCACCCCTCGCTGTTTTGATAATGCAAGCTCATTTCCATTTCCTGTCCCGATCACGCTTCGCTTTAATTCTGCTTCGTTTCGATCCAGGTCTCAACTCCGTTTTGGCAACGTGTGTGTCTTTTGATTTATTATGCTGCCTTTATTTCATTCATAAAATGAAATGATTATGCTGTATGCTATATGCTATATACGCCTTATATGCCATATATGCTATGGCTGCTTGGCTCACACTTTCGTGTCATCTTGGCCCGGACTCATTTTCATATCATTAGCCTCATCAGCAGACACGTTTGCTGCACTGCACTTCCGCACCCGCCTCCGCTGAAGTCCGTCGACGGATCGGTTTGGGCCAGGTTTCTTTGGGTCCCCGTGTCCCGGCCTCTAAACATCATCATCAGCCAAAACATTAACATCACCGCAGCGCCCTCTCATCAGCCAATCGTCGACTTCTGTTTCCCTTTTCATATTTTTTTTGGTGTCTTTCGGTTTGCTTTTCACAAAATCGTCTGTTGTGTCTGCACGCAATATTCGTAGATATAGGAATATTCTCTGTTGGTTTAGGCCATCACTTGACGTGTTTGGTAGGAAACCGGAATGAATAATATTCTCTGCTCGAGTTTTGAATATCTGCCCGCCTGATAAATGTCTCGCTCCGAGGAAATTTACATGGCCTCACTGCTCAGGAAATGAAATCGCATGTGGAGCCATTAAATTATAATATCTTTCGGAATTATGCAAATCAGCACAGGGCTTTAGGGTAATATGGTCTGTTTAATTAAGAAATCAGACTGGGGAAGTAGTTTAATGGAATTTTGATTTGCGGAATATTTTCAGATAAATATTTTGCAATAACAACGATGAACATTTTAGTAAGAGAAAATGTTTACCAAATTGATTGTTCTTTACGCTACCCAACGCTTTGTTGAAGTCATAAAACTTTACCGTAATAAAACACCCAATTTTTCTTGCTTCTGTTGAATATGAAACTATAAAAATAAATTTTCAAGAAATAATATAAAATAAAAATAATGAATTTGCTAATATATGCGGTTAAAACCTGGTACTCTTCACCCAAGTCTATCGCAACCCAACCCTTTGGTGAATTTAAATCTACTTAACGTAAGAACCCCATTTCCCTGCTTCTATTGAATATGAAAATCATTAATAACCAACCATAAAAGTGTTATAATCACGTCAGAGGTGTCAAAAGCGAACCCCTTCCCTCCCCATAGTTTCTGGGCCAACCCATCGCGTAGACATCTAACAAATTGCCAGCCTCTGTAAGCACGTGGATAATTGATGAGCGGAGCCACAGTCAGGCCTCCGTAAAAGAGTCGCTGCCCTCCCCGTTTGGCGTTTTAGCATATTTTCAAGTGCCCTCGAAGTGATCTCGAAGTGCTTTGTGTCTATCCCATAATTATGCCATTTGTACAACAGTTTTGAGCCTTTTGCCGTCAGTCGAGACCGGCAACATCAAACTAATTTGAATATAATTTCATAGAAAATTAACCACCTCGCTTTCCGCTCTCGGTTATTTATTGCTTAATCCTTGTGGTTTTCGCTTTGGAGAACTCGTGCCCCGGTTTGTCTTTTATGCAAATTCTTTTTTAATAACCCCGTCGATGGGGAATTCTCCGCCAGGCAGCTTCTTTTGTTCGCTCCACCTTGATTGCAGTCTGTCAGCTATTGTCTGGTTTCTTCGGAGGCTCTGACGCCTTTTTCGGTTTCATTCAGCGCTTTTGATGGCTTTTGATTATTATTGAAAGTGATAAATGAAGATGAGTTCCTGAACGGGGCGAGTGCAGTAGCAATTTGAACTCATCAAGCTGCAGCCGGTTGACTGATAGCTCTGATTGCTACCTGAAAAGCGCACAAAGGAAGTGGTCATTGAAGATCATGTCGAGCTAACATTTCAAGAATATTTAAAATAACAAATGGCGCTAGATGAATTTAAACTGAATATTATTTATTTTATTTTATTAACTTTTGTCCGTGGTGTTATACTTACTTATTGCGTTTTTTTTTAACCAAGCCAAATTAGGTTATATGGTTAATTTTCTAAATAATTTTTTTGTCAATCTCTTAAAAAGTATTGAAAGTTTTACAAAAATTGGTTAATTCCAATTAGTAATATAAATAACATATAATTGGAAAATAACACCATTAAATTGACTTACATTATTATTCATCTTGATAATTTCAGGTGTTATTAAATTATTGATTGGTTTATAGTCATAGTTAGTATAAAAATAATAGTATTTAAGGTGACTTAATTACTAGTGTCAAAGCTAGTTAGGCACAAAAGCTGGTTATTAACTCAAAAGTAATCACTGCCGAAGTCATGTGTCCACTAATTTAGATTGATAAAGTTAGACCCTCCACGTATGCATAATTTTAAATTTGTATTATCGATATCGCCATAACCGATCACCCTGTGAACTCGGCTGATGATTTATTAATTGTATTAAAATAGATTCGCCGATAGCCCATCAGAATCATCAATCAAATATAAATCGTGGCAGATCCCGCACTCGCAGAGCTTTTCAAAGGCGATGTAGACAATTTCGATAAGCTGGTCCGGGCATTAAAGTTCAATTCGTTATCCCATTAGGCCGCAAAACTATTACCGGCTAAATGCCCGCTCGGGCATTTGGAGTTGCAAATTGCTGGGAGAAACGTTCTGCGGCTCCCTGGCCATCGTTGCCGTATAACCAAATCCAATGGAGCGATCCCAAGCGATCATCAGCCATTTGGCCAAGTACAGCAGCCATTAAGCCCGCTCGATCCCAGCTCCCAACTACTTAACTTGACTGCGAGACCGAAACCGAAACTGAAACCGCGAGAGAGCTGACAACTGTCAGAATTTAATGGCGGCTTCAATTTTTATAACCAAAGCACGACTACCGTCAAAAAAAAGCAACAAGGGGAAGAGGCAGGCGCATCCAGCTGGAGTTTGGGTTGCCAGTTGCGAGTTGTGAGTTGCGAGTTGTGAGCCAAGTTAAAACAGATTACGCCAGCCAATCTGACGAGGGCTCAGTCCGCTGCCGCCGCAAATAAGAAATGCAAACGAGTTGCTGCAGCTCGTCCGAGGCACCGAATGCAGATTTCAGAGGCACGATATCGGCTGCGAGGGGAGTTGCCACGTACCGCTCGCCGTGGCGAGTTGTATGTGTGCAGCATGCAATATAGGTTCCCACAGTCGCCGCGGCGGTTGCTCTTTGGCAACGCCTTCCAAAACTGATGACGTTGTAAGGCAGCCGCAGAGTTGAAGCCGCTGCAGCCTCCCCCTCCCCCTCCCCGCTCTTTTCAATGCCCCCTCTGCGAACTCCTACTCCTTTGGCTGATGACTCGGAGACCTCGACATGCATATGAGCTTGATGGGTTCGAGATGGGTGCGTGAGGCACGGAGTTCTTAAGGGCTTAGGCTCCGTAACAAAAAATAGGAAGCTATCAGCTATCAAAGGATTTAAATGTAGCATAAAGATGTTACAATAAATATTAAATTGTTATTGTATCACTTACAATGCTTTGATACGCGTTATTCCAGTGTGACCAACAGACAACATGCTTGTATTTTAGTGTAACCAGTGTGAGTAAGCCACAGTTTATTAGTTTTTGCAGTGTTACTAAGTACAAATTTTATCGTGATATTTGCGGAGAAGAAAAAATGTTCTGTATTTTATACAAGTTGCTCGTAACAAAAGGTTTGTAAGTAAACTTATATTGTGAATGTATTGGGTTTCTAAAATTATTTCTGAAAGTATACTACGTAAAGATAATCAAGCCGAAAAATTAATTATAATTCTGTAAGTAGTGCAAAAGAAGCTAAATAATCCTCTTTGAACTATTAGGCACCCGTTCAGGATTCCATTACCCCATCGCCATTTCCTTAATTCCACTAAATCGACTTTTGCACCTGCTTAAATCAGAACCAATTTCAATATGCCTCAGTCACGCTCACATCGCCAGAGCTGCGGCTTTTGGACCACAACCATAACCATCACCATCATCATCCACGCTCGTCTTCGTCGTCGTCGCTTATCTGGCAAAATTTGATCAACGTTTTCGCAATTCGGGAGCTCCGCCCCGAAGGTATTTCCATAAATATTCCCTGGCCCCAGCCCCAGTATTTTGCCTGGCTTTGGCTGCCTTTGCTTCATTTTGGCTGCTCGGGCTTTGCTTTTTACTTTTATTAGCTGCTGGCCAGTTGTCTGTGCTGTTTTGGTTGTTCGGTTGTTTGGTTGTTCGGTTGTTGCTGCTGCTACAAATAAATTAAAATTATGCATGCTTAGGCATAGGGCCATGGGAATTTGCTTTGTGGGAAAGCCTCTTTTGTCTTTGGCTTAACATCGATTTCGGTTTTGTGTTTCGTGTTTTGCTTTTTGGGCTGTGTCTTTTTGGGCTGAACTTAAACAAATATGTTTCGATGGGTGCAGATAATAATTTTTTGCCCTGAAATTTATGTGTGTGGGAGCCGATCGTTTTTGGGCAGGCGAGTTTGCTAACTCAATGGGTGGGTAATAAAATGTACTTTTATGGTAATTGCGGGTTTTGTCGAC